GACAATCAAAAACTAGTCAGCTAGAATGAGAATTTCATGGTCTTTCTAAATATATATTCAGATTTTTTTCCGGCTTAAAATTGATTGAATAGAAGCAAATCTTCGATGGGAACCAAAAACGGTGTTTGTATAGAATCTTTGATGTAGTGCATTTTTGTACATTGATTAAAACTACCTCCATTCTAATATTATAAGAAAGCTTTCTTATACGCTAGTTTGTGGAACGAAGCTTGCTCTACAAAATGAGCAATTTTCTTGGCTTTTCACATAATGTCGAAAAGCGTCAGAATCTATTATATTCTAAATATCGAAATTCTCAAAAATTGATTATTTTGAAAAATGTCATCTCATCTACAGAGTGGCATTTGGAAAACTGTTTTTAGATTTTGACTGTTTTGAGATATACCTTATTGGAATCCATGATTTAGTATAGCATGAAATTCTCTACAAAATTAGAAAGAAAAAATGATTCTAAAATACCCTTTCGAGAAATTGTAAATGATGGGAAAAAGCTTATTTCGCGTGACACAAACGGCATTTTTTATGTATTCCGTTGTTGGTTTATAGCTAACTAGCAGCAAGTCAGAATCAAGTTCGAAGGATATATTTAAAAAGAGTATCGAATTCTGGTTCTATCTAGCTAGTTTCGATCATCTTCAATTACAGTTCAATGTACGAAAAAATGAGTAAACACAGTTACTGAGTCCTTGGAAACTAGTGTTTTGTACAAACGTTGTTTTTGGTTCACATCGAAGATTTGCTCCTGTTCAATCAATTTTAAGCCGGAAAAAAATCTGAATATATATTTAGAAAGACCATGAAATTCTCATTCTAGCTGACTAGTTTTGATTGTCTCCTGCAACCTTTAAGTGGAAGAAACTTGAACATACCCAAGGCAAAGCCGCTCGGTCGGATTCTGTCGGATGGATTTCAAATCCGTTTGAATCCGACGTTTCAGACGTAATCCGGTCCGAATTCCTTGGCACAGGATTCCAACGCAAACTGGAGCGGACCCGATCGGTTTTTAACGGAAAGCGGCGGATTCCGATGCAATCCGTTTCGGATCCGATGGTTGCCAGTAAGATCCACAGGTCGGATTCAATCTCTTGGGTATCTCGGTTTCTCCGAAAGGCACCCAAGAGATTCAAACCAAGGAAAGCCGCTCGGTCGGATTCTATCGGATGGATTTCAAATCCGCTTGAATGCGACGAACGGATATTTTCCGACGTAATCCGGCCCGGAATCCTGTTGCAAGGAATCCGACGCAAACTCGATCAGATCCAATCGGATTTAACGGAAGGCGTCAGATTCCGATGCAATCCGTTTCTGATCCGATCGATTTCCGGTAGGATCCACAGGTCGGATTGAATCTCTTGGGTATATTTTGTACAAAGACTTTTTACACGTATGTTAAACAAAGTAACTGAAGTACTTCGTAATAATCGATATAGTGCTTCTGGAAAAAGACTCATCGAAACGATAAATACGCTCATGAGTGACTCAGAGACTATTATTTCTTCGTTCATACTAGTAGAATTGAGTATTATCTGCAGTCACCCACTTTACTATTCAATATTCTATAATACCATAAGAAGAGAAATATATGACTCTTTTGTAGTTATTCACTGTCATCCACAATCAGTTATTTTTATCTAATTTTCATTCCACTGCTTCCTATCATCATCGATTTTTCTGTCATAAATACGAAACTTAGTAGTGTGATGTTATCTTAGCTTTCAGTTAACTCAAATTTTTTTCATAAAAGTTCTCATCATTCAAGATATTATACTTTTAGCAATTAATAACCATTGAATGATGCCTTTTCATGTCACATCAATTTCATCGCTGGAAATGTGCATAATATTTGATAATTACAAACATTCAACACATCATACACTTTGTTTTCTTTTCCAAAAAAATATAAGCATTATGCACATTTCAAGAGACGAAATTGATGTGACAAGAAAAGGCATCGTTCAATGGTTATTAATTGCTAAAAGTATAATATCTTGAATGATGAGAACTTTTATGAAAAAAATCTGAGTTAACTGAAAGCTAAGATAACATCACACTACTAAGTTTCGTATTTATGACAGAAAAATCAATGATGATAGGAAGCAGTGAAATGAAAATTAGATAAAAATAACTGATTGTGGATGACAGTGAATAACTACAAAAGAGTCATATATTTCTCTTCTCATAGTATTATAGAATATTGAATAGTAACAGATGCCAACATAAGTGACTTTCACACCTGCACCAGACAAAATAGATTATGAACCACACTGCACTGAAAGTGGGTGGTTGTAGGTAATACCCAATTCTACTAGTATGAACGAAAAAATAATAGTCTCTGAATCACTCATGAGCGTATTTATCGTTTCGGTGCGTCTTTTTCCAGAAGCACTATATCGATTCCTACAAAGTATTGTCCATTTATAAATGTGATGTGCCCCACTGTTTCTTGAATAACGCTTGATCGTTCAAGGCAATCAAGGTCAGATTTTTGCCATTTGCTACAGCAAGTTGTGGGACGTCTATCTAGGTAAGATTCACTAGGGTCACAGAAACTTTTGAGATTACATTTCAAACTAATATCTTTTGGGTCTTCGTTTTTCATCATTTTTTACAGCAGCCTAAACTCAAACAACACTAGAATTATCTAAGAAGTTGTGCGTTAATCATGATATTGTTAGATCTCTCTTTCACTTTCTCGGGCTTATCCTTCAGATAAAACATATCAAGATGCAAAATCTTTATTAAGACTATAGGACTTCTCAGACTAATCTTTGATGTAGTTTGTGCCTACAAACTATCAGGAAAATAAATCTTTATTTTAAATTCTTTATTATCTTAAAAACAACAATAGATATCATAGCGTTTTTTCAATGTTTGGAAGTATGTACCATGACATTTTGTTGTGAATGAAACAAGATGATTGATCGCTTGACAGTCTCAGATCAAGCACGAATTTCGTCTGGAAAATATCTGGAGATAATTCATTCTTTTCAGAAGTTTATTATTGTTATACTAGAACCGATTTCATAACACCTATTCTAATGTTTTGAAGTGTACATAATCATATAACATATAGTGTCTCACACTTCTACATAGAAACTTCTGTTTTTCATACACTTCTGTAGGTTGTAATAGTATCTGTTCTCGAAAAACAATAATAAACTTCTCAAAAGAATGAATTATCTCCAGATATTATTTAGACAAAATTCGTGCTTCATTTTGGACCGTCAAGCGATCAATCATCTTGTTTTATTCATAACAATGTGTGCTGGAATATGCAACAAAACAGTGAAAAAAACGTTACGACATCTGCAGGTGTTTGAGAGTGCAAAAGGATTTTTAAAAAAGGCGCTACTTTTCAGACACCCTATAGTTCGCTGTAAAAACTGATGGAAAATGAAAACTAATATGATATCGGTTTGAAACAATCCCAAAAAATTTCTTCAGTCTTGAGGGATCATCTGTAAATAGGCGTTCACCAATGTGCTCTGTCAGATAGTAAAAACCTGATCTCCGTAGCTTTGAATAATTGAAACTTATTCAAAAACCAGTGCAGCAAATTACACTTTTTAATTGACGATGTTGAGTTACTTTATTAGCTGAAAGTACAGTCGTATAAGTATTTTGATTGATAAAATAATCCACTACTTTAAAGTAATCGTTATGCGACTTTCAATTTAATCGAGCCTTAGAAAATGATATAAGGTCTTGGCTTTCTATATTCTCCTTTTTTCCTCAACTTAGTGGAATTAGAAGTCGGATGTAAAGACATAAATGAACACTGAATGTTCTCTACAAGTTTTTCACATGAAAATTCAAAAAATTACCAGTATGTCTTATATGTACTGATAGCGCACAAGATACTGCAGTGATTGTCTAGTGAACATAGTACTTTTAAGTACTTTTAAAAGTATCGAAAAGTACTCTATATACATCATGTAACAAAAAAGTACTATTAAGTACTTCTAAAAGTATTGAAGAGTACTTTTTATACTTTGTATAATACAAAAGTATTATTAAGTACTTCTAAAAGTATCGAAAAGTACTTTTCATATTTTGTATAGTAAAAAAGTACTATTAAGTATTTCTTAAAGTACCAAAAAGTACTTCTGTACTTTATGTAATGAGAAAGTACTATTAAGTACTTTCTAAAGTGGAAAAACTATGAAAAATTACTTTAAAAAGTAAAAAACAATAGGAAAAGTTACTTTATTCTATTTTATTAATTTTAAAAGTACTTAAGTGTTTTTTTCACTTTTTTTCACATGGATCGGACCTATACAATTCAAATAAAGAACTCTACATGATTTGGTTACTTGGAAGCCAGTGATACCTGCTCGGCACTACATTCATTCACGAGAAATCCTCATAAGCGATTGCTGAAACCACCTGGCACAGAAGAAGTTCGATCTGTGTTAAAAAAAAACCTTAAAGTCCTCTAGTTGACAATTAAATTAGTTCTTGCTCAATGAACCGTCCATCATTATGATCAAAGCTGTGTGTACAACACGAGACATCAATAAACAACTTACGTCGAATGACTTCTCTCTGAGATCAGCACAACCTTTTTTTTCTAATAGTACGTGTTCTACAACGAACGTTAGCTTAAAAACAACGAAGAAAATTTCCTCTAATACACATAATTATGGACTAGCTCCCTATTTTGAATCGATGAATTTCTTTTTGAATAGCAACACTGTGTAGAAAGTGAAACTCTGCATCTGATATCTCAATTTTGTAGGGAGATACTGGTCACTAGACGAACATTAGTCAAAAAGTAAAAAATCTCAGGCTAACTTTACTCGGACACAACAGTATCTATTTGATATGCAAGCAGGACAAAAAGCGAGTACTAATGTTTTATACCTTCGCCACCGAGTAAAATGTAAATATCCATTAAATCAGATTTCATTTGATCGACCTTTAAGATGCTATAAGAACAAGCTGGATAGAGCATAGAAAAAACAGCAAGCACATACAACTCACAATGACATTCGAATCATCTTGAGCAGAATTTCTTTATCTTTTTCATCCATCAACATTGAATTTAAAAACATGATATCACGTTTGACTTCTGCAAGATAAAAACAAATTTTTATTGCTCAACAGTGATTACTCTTATTACCATCCATCTTTCCAGATTTTAGATTTGTATCAATTCGAAATCGAATTGCTACTTTACGTTCTTCTTTAGCTTCATTTGGAAGTGAATCAATGTATTTTGATATAGTCTACAAATTATAATAGAAACTAAGAAACAAGAGAATTTCCACCATTCTTACTTCAGTAGCACCTTGATGATTACCATCTTGAATTTCAGTCAAAGCTTGAGACAACAATTGATATTGCGCCATTCATTAAATGATAAGAAATAGCAGTAACGAAAATCTCAATGATGACGATAGAGAAGTGTTGCTAATGAAAATCTAAAATAAGATGTTTTTGTACACTTATTTTAAGTGGACAATGTGTAAATAAGCATTTTCTTTTCGTAAGCAAAATGTAGCAAAGTGTGCATATAGAGTTCAACCTAATCTATTTAATGTGAAAGAATTAAAAAGAAAAAAAAAGAAAATTCATCTGTTTCTTTTTCATAGGAAGAAAATCGACATTAAACAATCAAATAAATAATAAATGCAGATACAATTTTCATTCGATAAAAACGTAAAAATCGTAACAACGTAAAAAAAATAAACAACAAGGAGAATTTTCATGCTTCTCTTCTAAAAAAAATAAACAAATATTCAATCAACAAATGAAATGCAATTGTCATACGTAGAGCTTTGTTTAGCCTCTCTTCGGAAGACCATATGAAGAGAGGGCACCGCGTGCCGATGACAAAATCAGTTAACTGATTTTGCCATCGACATGTAACGCTCTGTTGTGAAAAATTATTTACGAATGAAATATAAATGATATGGTAACAGTGCAGTGACATCTGAATGGATCGTATCACTAGAATATTGTTCTGTCCTCTTATATTATTGCATATAGATCAGATTCGCCTCGACCTAGGATGAATCATTGATTATGAACACATAATTGATTTGTTTTTTTTTTATTCAACTATTTCAAACATATAAAATCAACAAACTAATGTTTGTTCATGTCAGTGTGGCCAACCGACGTGATACCCCGAGATTCAGAGTGGGAAATGGTATTATTTCAAGTAGGATATAATGAATTTTTGTACGAAATAAGAGCTCGTGAAAAATGGGATTTATTGGTGCTAAATAGTAAGGGTTTTGGAAACTTTGTAATGTCGCACTTTAGAAATTTTTTACATGAAAATTTTTTTTAAAATTCACATTTCTATATGGAGGAAAAAGAGTACATGTTCTTGTATAATTAGCTTTTGTTCAGTATTTCTGCTACCTCACACGTTTCGAAATACACTTATTCGGTTCAGTTTTCCACGCTGCATCTGTTGAATACATGTCGAAACCTGTCAGATAGTGAGAATAATGAAAAAGGTAATTTTATGGGAAAATCTACTGTCTTTCGTCCATATAGAAAAAATGTGATTTTTTTAACAGTTTTTATGTATAAAATTTCTTAAAATTTTTTAAGTTCGGCATTACAGAGTTCAGAAAACCCTTACTGTTTAGTATCAATAAATCCCATTTTTGACAAGCTTTCATTTTGTATAAAATTCATTATATACTACTCCTTGGAATAAAACCATTTCCTATTCTGTACCTTGGAGTATCAGGTTGGTTGGCCACGCCCATCTATATGTCATACAGAAAAATATATAAAAACTTTAGGTTTTTTTTATAAAATAAAAATTTTCAACATTAACAATCATTTATAATTAATAGTTGTTGTTCAATATAATTTTACCGCAAAAATTCTCTTAATATTTTCGTTGTTTATTTTATTAATTTATCCTAATTTATTCTGGCAAAGAAAAACCAAAGTAACAACAAGGGAAAATAAACATAGAAATCTTTTGAATGTACTATTGTTTCAAAAATATTTAGTTCATTCACGTTGATACAATTGAGTCGTGTTCTATCTCTTGTAAAATTGTGTTACAAGTTATAATTGATCATAAACGATTGTTAAGTTAGTTAGACAAGGTAAATGTGTTTTTGTATCATTAAGAAATTGTTCAATATAATCATTATGAACAGCATTAAGACGAAGTGAAATAAGATAAGGGAGATCTAACCACGATCCACAAATTGGCAATTCAAGAAATTCTAGACATTCAAGAAAGACACATAAAATACTAACTCATAAGTTTACATTGCAATGGAATTCAAGAAAATCAAGCAATTCCAGAAATTCGAGAAATTTTCTTGAATTGCTTGATTTTCTTGAATTCCTTAAATTCTACCATACCGTTTACGAAGAAGATACCTTCACCCTCACTCTCCAGATTGCCTTGAAATTCAAGAAATTCAAGCAATTCTAGAAATTCTAGAAATTTTCTTGAATTTCTTGAATTTCTTGTCAATGGTTCTTGGACACCTTTTGTTCAATAGATAATTTGAAAT